AATGAGTCAAGCAGAGGAATGCTAGAGATGAAAATCAGTGGTCAAAGCGTAGAAAGGATGGACTACCTTTACTGCTGTCTGTCTGCATTGGTTACAAGAATGCAATCAAGTAAGCTCATGAATTGTTGGAGCAATATAAGCTCTGAACATTGGATCTACAGAAAGTCTCTATAAGCTTTTTGGAGATAAAGAAGAAATAATAAATCACCCGAAACTGAACAATTACAATAACATTAAATGTATCACAAATGATTCTGAGAAATATACGTGTCTTTTTTATCGATATTTTACAGTTTATGGTGGAATCTTTAGACGAGCAAGTCAAAGGCTGTGATTAGTTTAGCAACCTGACTAAATAGTTTGGTGAACAAGCAAACTTGTTACAGATAAAGAAGTTTACCCTTCGGAGATTGGGATAGATTTAACGAAACAACCTTACTTGATAAAGACAAATTTTAGTCATCTTTGAAAGATGAAAGCGTAGCTGATTTAGAGTATGAGTATCCAAATGAGATCTGAAGCAAGTGTGATTGTAAAACTTTAGGTGATTATCATGATCATGACTTATACTTGTCTACTCGCAGATGCATTCGAAAACTTTAGGCGGGTCAGTCACAACTATTACGGGTGGGAACCCGCATGGTACTATTCAGCGCCTGGACTTGGGGACGTGCAACTCAAACGCAGCAAAATCAAGCTAGAATTGTTCACTGATCCTGATATGTGCAGTTTTCTTGAGCGAAGAATCCGTGATTGAATTTCTGTGATAACAAAATAAGTCCCATGCTGTAGCGAACTATAAGTATACGGATGGACAAAACCTTCGTCGCATATTACTAATTTGAACGCGCGTAATCTGCATGACTGTCGTTCATACGACAAGGCTGTCTGCTCTCTCCCACATTATTCAGCATCTTTCCGGAGAGAGTCATGGCTGACATGCTTGAAAAAAATGAAGGGAGAGTAAGCATCGGAGACAGAACAGTCACCAACCTACGTTTTGCCGACGACATTGATGGACTAGCAGGAAATGAAAAAGAACTTGGTTAGGTTAGTAGAGAACCTTGCCAAAACTTCTACAGCCTACGGCATGGAAATCAGTGCAGAGAAGACCAAACTGATGACTAACGATACCTAGGGAATGAGCACTGACATCAGGGTCCAAGGTACGAAACTAGAAACAGTCCACAGCTTCAAGTATTTGTGGACAATCGTTACAGATGAAGGATTGAAGCCTGCAGTACTCTCCAAGATTGCGCAGACAACAGTAGCGCTGACAAAACTGAAACACATCTGGAGCGACAAGAACATCGCGCTCAGTTCACAGATCAGACAGATACACTCACTGGTGATCTCCATATTTCTCTATGCCTGTGAATTATGGACCATAACACCTGACTTAGAGAGAAAAGGATACAAACCACAAAGATGAGATTTTTCCGAATTATCCTCGGTGTCTTATACAAAGACCGTGCAATCAATGAAGAAATATGGCAAAGGATCAGACAAGTCATTGGGCCTCACGAAGACCTCCTACCACAGTGAAAAAACGTAAACTGCAGTGGTATGGGCATGTCTCACGATCATCAAGACATGCCAAGACAATTCTGCAAAGCACAAAGCACTGTACAAGGAAAAAGAAAGAGATGCATGCAGAGAAAGACATGGGAAGACAACATTCGGAACTGGACAGACTTGACACTGAGCGACTCACTGAGAAAGACGGAAAATCGACATGGAGGAAGCTGGTTGTTCGGTCTCGTGCGGTGCCCTAACGGTCTACCTGACTTCGGGACTGACGATGACGATGATGACGACGACGACGATGATGATGAATCAGTATGAATGGAGGATGTGACAACCGATGCAGTATGGTTGATTAACATGGATAGCACCAAAACAGTTTATCACGGACACTAAAAATCTATAAGTTGATTGTTCTGAACAAGATATAAGCTATTTCATTGAAGTTGATGTGGATATTCCGGTTGGGCTTCATGTATAATTTAAGAACTATCCATTCCTCTCTGAGTTGATGTTTATAAACTACAGCTTACTATCTGATCAGCTGGTAATAATTCAATTGAAACCAGTTACTGTTAAAAAAAATACCTAACCTGCTAAACAAGCAAAATTACATTTGTCGCTACAAGGCTTTATAACAAACACTTGACGCTGAATTTATGATGAAGTTCAATCATTTGCGGTAGATGAAAGTTTATATAGACTCAAATACCTACCAACGAGCGCTTGCAACAACAGACTTTTAGAAGAACTTTTTAGACTAATGAATAACAGCGTTTTTGGAGACTATGGAGAATATTTGATGTTTGATTTATCTGATTACCCAAAGAATAGCGAATTTCATTGTAACAATAACAAAAAGACACCAGGTTAATTTAAAGATAAGACAAACTCTATTCCAATATCTGTTCATATCGTGCTTTGGCCTAAGATGTACGCGTATCAACTTAACACTTGTACAAAAGCAAAAGGAATATCTTGAAATACGGTAAACACGAAACTGCAAATATCAGATTATGAGGACGCGCTTAGAGGTTTGACACAAACACCAGCGAAAATCTCATCTCTGAATGACCGCTATAGGATCGCACAAGCATAAGATAGAGACCGCGTTACTATCAAACTCGGTTTAATAAATATCGATGATAAACGTTATTACGAAGACGGAGTCAATACACTAGCGTTTTTCATTATGAAACAGGTAAATCAAATAGACCTCCAATCACAGATGATATCAGCATAAATAAAATTAATCCACATAAACCTCACATCATTGATGATACCAGTACAAATAAAACTGACTTTTTTTAATCGTGGCTGCTGCCAGGTGATTAAAATTTGCAGTAGTAAAACAAAATGAGATTTTTACTTCAAACCCCTTTTCCCCCTCTGCACATTAGTTTTCTAAAGCATCCATATGCGGTGGTATGTTTAATAAGCGTGCATAGAGCAATACTGCAATTTCCATAAAACAATTTTAAATTTACATCAGATTTTGGCGCCCATGAGGTAGAAGATTTTTATAAATATGCCCACAATACGTCCAAATGTATCTTAATACACGCAATATCCCAACCATAAAACCTGAAATATGACCATGTAAACCTCACATTCTTTATGTTATTTGACACTTAAGCTTGAGACTTTTGATGTAATCTATTTATTCCCCTTCTAAATTTTCCAACGATATATTTAAGCATAGTATCTTTATTAATTGCTAATTCAAAAGTATTCATTGTATTGAAAAGCTACTATACTCTTAGTATTGAGGTTCTAAGCTCTATAACCGAGAGCCCTAAATTTAACGTTGCAGCAAACCCTGGGGAACAATTTAGCTTTGTGGAACGTAATGATGAAAATAGGATTCATCTAAATAGTCCATATTTTATAGTTCCATATGTTGAAAAATGGAATCAATTTTAATAACCACTAAACGTGTATAATAGAACACTCACTACAAAATTACCTGTTGAAAGAATTTGTCATCGCAATCATACCCGACGATTGTTGCCTTGACAACGGTTTCTTGCATCATTGAATGTAATCTTAAATAAGATATATAGTATATTTTACCTATTCAAATGCTTCTCAGATATTTTCTTGATTAATATAAATATTTTATTTCGATGCAATTAGTAGGTCAACACTTTTCAAGATGCCATAAGAAAATGTATACTCCTTTCTGACCATTTACTTAAAATGTATACCCTTTCTGACCATTTACTTAAAATGTATAGCCTTTTTGAACAGCTACTTAAAATGTATAGCCATTTTGAACATCTACTTAAAATGTATACCCTTTCTGACCATTTACTTAAAATGTATACCCTTTCTGACCATTTACTTAAAATGTATAGCCTTTTTGAACATGTACTTAAAATGTATAGCCTTTTTGAACATCTACTTAAAATGTATACCCTTTCTGACCATTTACTTAAAATGTATAGCCTTTTTGAACAGCTACTTAAAATGTATACCCTTTTTGACCATTTACTTAAAATGTATAGCCTTTTTGAACATCTACTTAAAATGTATACCCTTTCTGACCATTTACTTAAAATGCATACCCTTTCTGACCATTTACTTAAAATGTATAGCCTTTTTGAACATCTACTTAAAATGTATACCCTTTTTGAACATCTACTTAAAATGTATACCCTTTCTGATCATTTACTTAAAATGTATAGCCTTTTTGAACAGCTACTTAAAATGTACACCCTTTCTGACCATTTACCTAAAATGTATACCCTTTCTGACCATTTACTTAAAATGTATAGCCTTTTTGAACATCTACTTAAAATGTATACCCTTTCTGACCATTTACTTAAAATGTATACCCTTTTTGACCATTTACTTAAAATGTATAGCCTTTTTGAACATCAACTTAAAATGTATACCCTTTACGAACATCTAATACAAATGTATACCCTTTATGAACATCTGCTTAAAATGTAAAGCCTTTATGAACATTTACTTCAATTGCATAGCTTTTCTGAACATCTACTTCAAACGTATAGCCTTTCTGAACATCTACTTAAAATGTATACCCTTTATGAACATCTAATACAAATGTATACCCTTTATGAACATCTGCTTAAAATGTAAAGCCTTTATGAACATTTACTTCAATTGTATAGCTTTTCTGAACATCTACTTCAAACGTATAGCCTTTCTGAACATCTACTTAAAATGTATACTCCTTTATGAACATCTGCTTAAAATGCAATTGAAATGTATGTGATGTGATTATGATTTTTTAATGCAGCTTTAACAATTTTTCAGTCATCGCTACTATGTCTGCAGTGTGGCAGTGTATAGTGATGTCTAGCACTGGGGCATCATGTCGCAGACATGTAGCATGATGTCCCACCCAGTCACATTATCCTGACACCAGTCCGACCAGTCCTAACACTAACCTCCTAATGCTGAGCGTCAAGCAAAGCAGCTGTTAGTACCATTTTTGTAAGTATTTGGCATGACTCGACCTAGGATCGAACCCACGGCCTACCGCATTTGAGGCGGGCGCTCTAACCACTAGGCCACCGGAGCGGTTCCAGTTGAAAAGAGTAATGGAGTTTTTATTTTACTTTTAAATATCAGTTCCTTGATGATAATATTTAGCCTTTTCCACCAGACAATCACGCACACAAATTAAAAAATAATGTTATATTGGGTAATAAATTACGAAAACCCTAGAAATCATGCCCTAATTGGTTCAATACTTTATGTACTTTAGTTCACACGCCGTTCATTTGTTTCTGTATATTTGAAAAATCAAAAGAAGTAAATAAAAATATTGCTTTTTTTATTTTAAATGAGATTAGGAGATAAGCACATTTCAAGATAGGACACGAAACTGTTAATGACACCAGCTACACCAGCCTACGTTAAAATGGAAATGGATCTGGTCTTCAACTTTTGAAAATCCGTTCCTGGATAAAATATTTAGCTTTACCTATTATCCCTCATTTAGAAGGTCACGCACCCTTGAATGGTCGCTATGAAACTCTTGCATGGGATTAATAGTTGCATAGACTGTTCTTCTGACGTGGAGAATTTAACTGATCTGCCCTCAAGGTCATGCTCATTTAGTTAATTTTTTCGACACTTCCCAAAGTACTTGCCATTCATATGCGGTCCATTGTTCTCCGTACAGCTGTATTGTCTTGTATTTTTCTGACTCACAAAATAAATCAATTCAAATTTAATTTTAAAAAGTCCTCTGCAGAGAGACAATTGAATATGCACCCGAAAGTCTTGCTGTTTTAAAATACATTGACTGACATAGTTCTTTGCGTATTAAAACAGTTTACCTGACTACAGTTTTAAGTCTGATGAGCACATGTCATTCAAGCATCTATTTAATTGGGGGGGGGGAGGCGAGTGGCCGAGTGGTCTAAAGCGCTGTACGTTACGGATCACTGCCATCTCACCTCTGTCTGCGTGAGTTCGAGTCCAAGATTCGGCGAATGTGGATATGTGAAAAAGCTTGCCAGTAGCTTCTCGTGGGTCGGTGGTTCTTTCCGGTGAATTCCCGGTTTCTTCTTCCACCATTAATACTGGCCGCCATGTATCGTGTGCTGGAAAATGGTGTTAAGCCCAACAACAACAACAACAACAACAACAACATCTATTTAATGCATGAGATGATGTTCACCCAGATTAATATATGTAGGAAAAGTTGAGCATGAGTGACGTTTGCCACTCTTCGTACAACGATCTTTAAATGTTAGAGCTAATCCTTCTAGATCTAAGCCAAATAGTTTATTGAGCTAATCCTTCTAGATCTAAGCCAAATAGTTAATTGAGTTAATCCTTCTAGATCTAAGCCAAATAGTTAATTGAGCTAATCCTTCTAGATCTAAGCCAAATAGTTTATTGAGCTAATCCTTCTAGATCTAAGCCAAATAGTTTATTGAGCTAATCCTTCTAGATCTAAGCCAAATAGTTTATTGAGCTAATCCTTCTAGATCTAAGCCAAATAGTTTATTGGCAGGAAATATCTTTCTGACTATGACCACTGTTTTGAACTTATAATATTAGAGACAATAAGTATGGTCATGTAATGTATGACAAGAAAATAGGGTTAGAGTTACAAACTAAGACAGGTGTTTGAACTACACCCAGGGGCATTGACATAGGGAGAATTATACCCGCTCTTTGTTTGTGCCATATGCCGTGAGCAGCTTTTGACGAAAATTGTTGGGCAATTCCTTTGGGATTTGTGTGTATCCATATCTTATTAACTGGGCTGTTTTCTTTGCCTTGGAGTTATAGACGGTGACAAATGGTATCTTTGTGTAAATTGAGTCCGAGCGAAGTGATTGTTTCTAATTTTCTAATTCAGAAGGTCTCCAGTTTTCAGAGAGCATTTTTCTTTATAACATCAGCAATGGGGAGGACAGAGCAATAGAATCACGGTCAAGATTATAGTTTCGGTTAGTGTTTAAGTTTAGGGTTAGAGTTAGGGGTTAGATTTAGGGGTTAGAGTTAGGGTTAGGGTAAAACCTAAGAAAGGTTTTTGAAGGACTCCCACGCGTACTGGCTGAGGGAGAATTATTCCCGCTTTTTTATTTTGTTTCTAATTAAGATATCACTAAGTTTTTATTTTTGTGATATGCCGTGAACCAGTTTTTGCAGAATAAGGTTGTGAAGTTTTTTTTTTGATTTTTATGCATCTCTATCTTTTTAATTTGGATATTTTCGTTGCCTGGAAGTTATAGACGGTGACATACGGTACAATGTCTTCCGTTTCGTCAATTAAACTGAGTTTGAAGAAACAGACTGTTTAATATTCCAATTCAGTAGGCCTCCCGTTTCTAGAGATTTTATATCTTACTAATAGCTTCAATAAATAATAATAATAATAATAATAATAATAATAATAATAATAATAATAATAATAATAATAATAATAATAATAATAATAATAATAATAATTATAATAATAATAATCATGATAATAATAATAATAATAATAATAATAATAATAATAATAATAATAATAATAATAATAATAACAACAACAATGATAATAATAATAATAATAATAATAATAATAATAATAATAATAATAATAATAATAATAATAATAATAATAATGTGGACCAAATACGGCGACTAATTTTTAGAAGTTCTAAGCGCTTTACAATATTAGGTAACACATAATAATAATAATAATAATAATAATAATAATAATAATAATAATAATAATAATAATAATAATGACTTTTGTATAGCGTCTGATCTTTAGAACCTCTTAGCGCTTTAAAACATTAAACAACACCTACAACATAAAAAAAACAAACATATGTAATGATATGATTACTAAAATCATACACCATGAAATTAAAAAGCATAAAACACACTGAAATATTTAAGGTAGGGAACATTGTTAGATCTTTAAGTTTATTTTTACAGTCGAAATAGGTGAGTTTTAAGAGCGCTCTTGAATTATATCACTGTGTCTTTGTGTCTAAGGTCAGTGGGCATTTAGTTCCACGTTGCTGGGCCCTGGTAGGCAAAATAATGATGTCAAAGGATGATCTGAGCAGCTGTGTTTTGAACGTTTTGAAGTTTCTGGAGTAGATATTGAGATAAACTAGACAGATCTGAGTTACAATAGTCCAGTCTTGAAAGTAATAAGGAACACACAAGTGTTTTAGTAGCATCAACTGAAAGATATTTACGAATGGAGCTAATACATCTCTGCTCAAGATATGCAGCCTTGCATATGTTAATGACATGTTGGTGCAATGTGAGAGGACTGTCGAGAGTAACACCTAGGTTTCGTTCTGACTGTGTGAATATAATGTGGGTGTTGCTGATATTTATTGTTTGAGGTAAAGGATGTGAATGAAAACGTCATTGTGTTGTAATCAGAATGGCTTCAGTTTTATCATCATTCATCTGCAGCTAGTTATATGTCATCCATGATTTCACATCAGAAATTCACATCTCTACGCCTTGGATGGATTCATTTGGGTGGCTAGATTTGTGTATTTGGGTGTCTTCAGCGTACAATTGGTGAGACATTTGGTGATGATCTATGACACTTGAGAGCGGCAGAGTGTATATAATGAAGTAAACAGGTCCACGAACAGATCCTCGTGGAACACCACAACATAGATCAACTGGGCTGGAGTGTATTCCACTTGCGGACACAATTTGTGTCCTGTTGACCAAGTAGGACTTGAACCACAGCAAGGCTGTATCATGAATGCCAAATACATGCTGGAGACGGTGAAATAATATATCATGGTCAATTGTGTCATTGCTGCACTCAAATCAATGAGGGTGAGGACTGTGATCTTTCAGCTATCCAAAGCAGAGAGAAAGTCATTGACTACTTTCAGAAGAGTAGTTTCAGTACTGTGGCAAGGGTGATATGCAGACTGTACATTGCTAAAATACTATTTGAATTCAGTGAGATAGAATAACTTTTTCTAAGATTTTTGACATGAATGGGAGATGAGAAATTTGGTGGTAGTTCTTTAAATTGTCATAATCGAGTGTTGGTTTCTTCAGCAGAAGCTTTACAACGGTAGTCTGAAAAAATTTACGGGAATTCCCAGGATGAGAAAAAGGTATTATTAACATCAGTTAGTGAAGGTAATATTGGATCTAAGAACTCAATCAGCACTGACAATGGAACTAGATTAAGATCACGTTACTTTGGTGCACTCCTCACCATGACTGTACGTACGATATCCATAGAGACAGGTTTAAATGCTGCTAACGGTTGCCACCGAAATTCTGTATCTCAACTGTATGGTGACGACGAGTCAATTGAAAATATGTTGTCAAGCTTATCTTTAAAGTCTTGTAGTTTGTCACGGAAGAAATTTCCAAACCGGTCCGGAAGGTCGACTGTAGGGAAGGTAGTTGGAAGTAGGGTACATTTGTTCATTGACATTAACTTGTTAGTTACCTCTTTAATCTCTTTGCAGATGGAACTTTCCGTGATCTTAGTACTGGAGTGGGATGATTTCGCTGCATGGACTATGTTTGTGACGTTCTTCTTTTCGGCTTCATATATTTGCCTATGAATCGTGAGTGTGGTGGAAAGCCAAAGCCTCTCAGCATTACGGCGGTGTCTTTCAGCAGTGAGATGCTGGTTCCCAACACTGATATAACACGAAGAACACTTTTGAATGGATATTCTGCACTTGGTTGCTGGGGCACGTTTAGCAAGGAATGAACTCACGCAGTTATCGAGTTGTTCTGCTGTAGGAAGTAAGCAAGTTGTTAGGCTTGCTTGGATGTCATGCAGTAGTTGGGTTCTATTTATTATATGGAGGTTAGTAGCAAATAAAGATGGAGGGTTAGGGAGTGATATGTCAAGATGGCATATAATGCAGAGGTGATCTGATTCAAGTTCGTGGGATAACAGTCAGGACCGTAGAACATTACAACTTGGTGTATGAAGAATCCATGTATAAAATTTGACCATGTTTATGGGTGGGTTGGTTAACTAACAGTTTGAGGTTAAACACGTGAATGAATAGTAGAGTTTTGATGTATATGGGTTTCCTGCACAGTCAAAGTAA